CTGAATTTCAAAATGCGACTTGATAGCTCTATTTTACGATTTACAGTGCATTTCCAACAATCACAGCATTTCCTTCTATGAATATTAAGCCACTGACCTGTGTGCGTCCTTTTGTGAATCTTTAGATTTTCGGATCTTGCGAACACTTTCCCACAACCAGGGAACGGACACGGAAACGGTTTCTCCCCGGTGTGCACTCGAATGTGATTTACAAGTTTGTATTTTGCTTTAAACGGTTTGCCTTCCCTGGGACACTCTTCCCAAAAACATATATGGTTCGCTTGCTCTGGTCCTCCAACGTGCTCTACCGTCACATGCGTTACGAGTTCGTGCATGGTGCTGTAAGTTTTGGAGCAAAGTTTCTTCGGCGAGTGCTCCGGCTCCAGCCACTTGCAAATCAGCTCTTGCTTTATCGGCTGCCTCATGTAGCGGAAAAAGGCACCGGCTCCGTGGTGGTGGTGAGCGCTAAGATTCATATTCAGATTCAGACCACCGTAGCCATGCAAAGGCGAGGCAGAGAACGGATCAGCCCTGGAGCCTGCCACTTGACTCAAGTGATCAGACCTAACATACATTTCTCCAGGTAGTCCTAACCTTATTTGTCCATTCAGTGTTTGGCCACCCGGTGATCCGCTAGAAGGCTGCTCGTGGTGGAGTCCGGAGAAGAGGGTATGGTTCCCAGCGTCAGGGTGATGACCATAGTGTCCGGGATAGCTACCTGTTGTTGAGACAAACATTCCGTGGTGAGAGGCTGAACCAGCAGTCTGGTCAGTCAGTACTGGCATGGCTTGAGCTGTCAGATCTCTCCGGATGAGGAAATCCCTACCTGCAGATAAAGCCTGGGCCGTGTGAGACATAGAATAGGGGACCGATGTCGCCTGAACCGGGCCAAAAGCTCCCGTTTGACTGGAGACCACTTCACTGTGGCCTGCCATATGATGATTGTGGTGGTGGTGATGGTGGTGGGGATAATGATGGGCTGGGCTGATTTTGAGGGCCGCGGAGTGCCCCATGTGTTCTGGCCCGAATGGACTCGGCCCCAGGCGGGGTTCCGCAGTAATCTCCCCAGGGTGCGAGTGAGCCATTGAGTGTGGATGGCTGCTGAACCCCGGGAAGCCTGTCACGCTCTGAGGGGTATGGTGGTGATGATGGTGATGGTGGTGAGCCCCTGCCAAGTCAACTAATCTCAGCGCCGTGTTCCGTTTGGAAAACGTAGGGTCCATCACGGGGCTTCCCAAAGCATCCACGCTCATTACTTCCTAATTTTAGAATAACTTGACAGCAGGCAAAATAATAATGATGATGACAAATATATTTTAATCGCAATGAAAAAATAAAGAAAAAAACTTTATAAAGTTAAGTCTATCTGCAGACTACATGGAATCCCATTCGGTTGAGAGGCAGCAGCAGGACGCTTTGATACTGAATAGAGATTCATGGTAGGCGCTGCAGCCCGTGGAGCTAAACAATCACCCTGCGCTCTAATTGGTCAGAGCTCTGTGATTGACGTCACCAGTGACAGTTTCCAACGTGAAGAAAAATGTCTTAGTGACAGCGAGCAGCTACCGCGCATGCGCAGTGCCTCGGGCAACGCTCAGGAAAAAAAAGGAATAGTTGTTATGCAAAGGTTATTGTACAATAAAAGTCCTAAAAAGTTGATCCCGATATACAGTCGCCTCTCTTTTGTTGCGGCTGACAAAGGCTGTGAGGCTATGAAATAGCAATTTCCCCACTTTGATTATGTCCTTACAAAACAGACTGCTCCGCGAAGAGTGTACATATTGTCGCTGTAAAAGTTGTAAGGATCATAAATAATGCAGTGATATCTTTATTTTGCACTGCAGCGTATTAAGGGCAACTTTACGCACAAATTACGCGTAAGTTTACGCACGTAAACGATCGATGTCAGCGGAGAAAAACTTGTGCAAAGGACAACTCCACGTGGTAGTTTTAAATAGTCCGGAGTACATACCATTAATATGCGCTTTGATAAATGCACATATTTACATATCCAGCCGTTTGCCCTTCAGCGCATACTACAGAGCTGACTCCGTGCTCTGCCTGGTGGGATCCGTGTGAGTAGGATGTGTGAATAGGGCGAGCTGCGGCCATTGTCCCGAGGAAAAAAAATGTAATGGACGGGACCTGTTGTTATGATCCGGGGTAATTTTGCTTTAGACCCAGGACGGCAGCAGATGAGGGTCACAGAAGGTGGTACCGTCGCAGACTTAAGTTCAAAATAAATCGTTTCTGTAGCCCACTGTAAGTACCGATACAAGCTTATCCTGCAAAGGATAAAACTAACCGTGATTATTTTTCCATCTTTGTTTGAATGCTTAACTGAAAGACAGTAATCGCTACAAATCGTAGCAAAACGCCGTGCGGTTTTATAAATTATCCTCCACTAAGATGGGTATTTTTTTCTACACGGACTTTGTCTTTTTTAAACCGTCAGCAGACTAAAAGAAATCAAATGGTTAGTTATTACAATGCTGACTAATTTGTTTATATAGCTTCACACGGACTATAATTTTCAGCATGGTTGACTTTTTCGGTGAAACAATCTTGCATGCCGACACTGCAATAATTGTCTTGCAATATCATAACTGTGGAAGTTGTATTAGATTTTTTTTCTGTTGTGACGCTGTCATTACTTTGACTTTTTTTATTTGTTTTTTACATTTTGGGAGTATGCGTTATATACACCAATTCGACATGTGCGGCTCATTTTTGAGTGAAGTTTTATCATCTCTGGTTGCAGGGGAAAAAAAGATGATTGTGACTTTGACCACTACTTTATGGATTTCACAATCTGATGTCAGATACGAGGTGTTTTAATAGGTGCTGTTTGTCTTCTACGTGGTTCGTAATTTGTAGAGTCAAGTCTAAAACCCCAAATTATTTTCAGAGTCGCTCGTCAGCATTTCCGTTAATGAGAAAAACAAGTGCACACAATCTGAACTTGTGTTTAGGGGTGACTGAATTCATCATTCTTAGATGTAGTAATTAAAATAAAGCAATTAACCGAATATTAAGTGACTTTTAATCAGCTACCATTTTTTGATAAGAGAAAATCAGTTGCAAACCTGTATTACTCTAGGTTATTTCTATGGATTGACTTGTCAAAACCTTTGCTGACAGCGTCATATCCAGCACATTAGAAACTGAGTCAATATTTTGAGACGTGACGGATCCAAAAGATGTTTATTAAATGGCCTTTACGCATGTGGCTCATGAGGCTCACAGCTGCAGCCTTCAGAGGCATCACAGCACCAGCGTAATGCAAAACTTTGAAGTGCTATTTCTGGTCCAAGTTGTGCATGCACTCACTCACTCACTCTTGGAGACAAGTAAGCTAGGGAGCTGTACGAGATCCCAAATCAAAAAGCTGAATAATGCAGCGAGGTCTCATAAAACGTCGCATTTGCTCCCTTGGCTTTCACTTTAAACCCTCAACTAGCTTCTGCTAACAATTTCAATTCTGCACATGTAGTATCATAGCCGATTATTGGCCGTTTCATTAGGATAGCCTATAGCTTTTGCGCATTAAAACTAAATATGTTCAATTCATTTTGAGGCACACGGGGAACTTTGAGTGCGTTGCAGTGTCATGTACTACTGCAACAACTCTAATTTATCTTTCCATGTTTCAATATTGTATACAATACTCTCAGCTTATCAATGATATGTCATTCTTACCGTTTCCCACCTGTTGAAATATCCCTCCAAAATTTTGTATAGCAGAATATGGGGACACCTAAAAGGAAAAAAAAAGTCGGATCAAGTCGTAGTTCTACTTGTTAAGTTGAGAACAACAAACCTTCCTCTCTTTCCTTGGTCTCCTAAGGCTGACTAGGAGAATGACTTGTAGAAGCCAGTCTAGTAGCCAAGAAGATATTTTAATGGTTTGTATGGCACGTCTGTGCGTGTGGCTTTGAACTCTAGCAGCCGGAGGTTCCTGCAGAGAGCGCCGCAAATCCCACTTGATAACTTCGACAACCCACAACGTTTTACACACAGGTTATGCATTGCTGGTCTGCTAAAAAAAAAAAAAAAATTAGAGCGAGTCGCGCAAGCTCAGCCAAACCGTGATGGATAAATTAGGTATAGTTGTAGATCCAAGTTAAATACTGGCCTATATATTCAAGGTAACCTTTGTGAACGCGGGGTGCTGGTGAGCATGATGTGGAAATCTAAAGCACAGATGTTCCACTGGTGTGCGCTTCAGTGGACGCCGAAAGACAGTGTTGAAGTGAAACAGAGCTACAAAACTCGAAGTGCGCACAAGAGGAAGAAAACAAAACGTTGTATGGACTCCTTTGAAGTGAAACAGATAAAGTGATAATGCCCTGCCTTTCGAGAGAGTGATGACCCCAAATGAACTTCAAATAGCGGTTCCCCTAAGTTTTCCGAATGAAACACATCTAAACCGTGTCTCTCTATACCTGTACCTGGCACACGTGATGACGGGTCCAGGTTAGAACTCTGTCAGGTTTCATGATCTCCTGAATGCCGTCCCACGTGCAATAAATAAGAGAGGTGTCAGATAATAATCATTGAAAGCAGACAAACAGATTGACGCATCTGTCAGCCTGAGCGCTTAACTGTACAAAACGTTATCAATTAAACAAACAAAAAAAGGGCGTGCTTGGTAATCTGATGGCCATGGCAACAAAGGCAACGTTTGGTTTGTAACCCTTCTGCACTCCGTGGCTGCAAAACGGGCTTCGACTTACTTTCTACGAGGCCAATTGTTGTCTTGTGTTTCCCAACTTTTGTTTTGCTGTTATTCAGCCCTTTAACCAAATTCACAGTCAGCATTCTCACAATATCTGGGATTGATGATGCAAAGAGGCCAATAGAAGTGAGGGCCCTGCACCGTGGATTGTTATTTGGTGAGTGGATGTTATTGGGGGGAAAGGGGCTCCGCCAATGAACGAGAAGCTCCGGAGCCACGTGACTACCCCCCTCCTCTCCCATTCATCAGGGCTGGACTGTGTTGTCTTTTCAATTCATTTATCTGCAGGAATGATTGCGACTATCAGTCTAGAGCTCACCGCCTGACTGAGGAGGTGAAAGTTGCGCCACAGGAAGATAAACCGCAAAAGACAATATTGCATGTATACACGATTTTGCGTGTGCATCGGATGAGCGGTATAGGGGGATTCCTCGCGTCTTAAAAAGTAAACAGAAATTCGGTGGATTTGAGAGTTTGCTCAGTGTAGAGGTCCAAGAGATACAGAGAGGGGGAGGAAGAATATCTGCGCGTGGTTTTTTGATTTCTGCTCTCAGTCGTCTCAGCGAGTCTAGACTGAAGATGCTCCTGGACGCAGGACCGCAGTATCCCACCATAGGAGTCACTACTTTCGGCTCCTCACGGCATCACTCAACAGGCGAAGTCACAGAGAGAGAAGTAGCGTTGGGGATAAATCCGTTCGCAGATGGGATGGGCGCCTTCAAAATAAACCACAGCTCCCACGATATTGGCTCCGGACAGACGGCGTTTTCTTCCCAGGCGCCCGGCTACGCAGCAGCTGCCTTGGGACACCATCACCACCCGACCCACGTTGGCTCTTACTCCACGGCGGCTTTCAACTCCACCAGGGACTTTCTCTTCAGAAATCGGGGTTTTGGGGATGCCACCGGGGCGCAGCACAGTCTATTTGCCTCCGGAAGTTTCGCAGGGCCACATGGACACTCAGATGCAGCCGGGCACCTGCTCTTCCCAGGGCTCCACGAGCAAGCAGCAAGCCATGCCTCTTCCAACGTGGTCAACAGCCAGATGCGGCTGGGCTTCTCGGGGGACATGTACGGACGGGCCGACCAGTATGGCCACGTTACGAGCCCCAGGTCTGACCACTATGCGTCAACCCAGCTGCACGGCTATGGCCCCATGAACATGAATATGGCTGCACATCACGGAGCAGGGGCCTTCTTTCGATACATGAGGCAGCCGATCAAACAAGAGCTTATCTGCAAGTGGATCGAACCGGAGCAGCTGACGAATCCCAAAAAGTCGTGCAACAAAACTTTTAGCACGATGCACGAGCTTGTGACCCATCTAACGGTGGAGCATGTGGGAGGACCAGAGCAGACGAACCACATTTGCTTCTGGGAGGACTGCTCCAGAGAAGGAAAGCCATTCAAAGCCAAATACAAACTTGTAAATCATATCAGAGTACACACCGGTGAAAAGCCCTTTCCGTGTCCGTTCCCCGGCTGTGGCAAAGTATTTGCTCGATCGGAAAATCTAAAAATACACAAAAGGACTCACACCGGTAAGATCCGCACAGATTGACCGTTTTTTTTCTTAGTGCCAAAATCAGTGCTGAGAATGCCTCATTCAAAATATGCATGCAATCAGGATTATTATTTATAAGGCAGCTGCAGTATCTTCACTGACATTTGACTCAGTGCAGCTGTCGACAGAAAATATTTTATAGGCTTTTGTTTTTGCTTCCCCAGATTTGCTATTTTATATTACATTTAAAATAATATTTAAATTCAAATTGATATTATTTATGCACATCTAAATAAGCTAATTCAAATGTATTTACAGTGGATAATTATTGCAAGGCAATCCAATCCAAATGACTTAAAAAAATAAAAATCTTTACTCTGGTTACTGTTTTACATTTTCAAATATGTAAAGTCAAAATAAAAAATGTGTAATAATAATGTTAAAGCCCCATCGGTGTCAAACACTATATTGTTATTTTTCTTGCTTCGTTTAGGTGAGAAGCCTTTTAAATGTGAGTTTGAAGGCTGCGACAGGCGGTTTGCAAACAGCAGTGACCGCAAGAAACACATGCACGTCCACACATCGGACAAGCCCTATCTCTGCAAAATGTGCGACAAGTCATACACACATCCCAGCTCCCTCCGAAAACACATGAAGGTAAAACCAGTTTTATTATTATTATTATTATTGTATTTTTTTGTATTCCTGCAATGTTTATCTGTGTGCAAGTGCAATTCACAGACTGTTTGTTTGCTGCTTTCAATGCGTGACTGGAAACCAGGATACAAAATATTTCTTTATTTGTATAATTTTATTCTAACAGGATGTCCCAGTTTCCCCCCCTCCTTTTTTTCCCTTCAGTGTAGTAACAGAAACACAAGTTAATTTGTCTTGACACTTTCTTTCTTTAACCGACAAATCAGATTAAGATCTTAATGGGAATAATTATGTTTTGGGTATGCTTTTTTTTGTTTCTTTTTTGTGTTTTTAAGAATTCTGCACATGTCCCCCAACAGTCAGATTAGGACTTTTAATTTGTTTTGATGAGGTTCTTATGTTCTGTGTTTGATCAAAAACAAAAACGAAAACAAAAACCCCCACGGTGCACCACGATTCTCAAAACACGTTTCTCATTACTCGCAGGTCCACGAATCCAACAATGCAGGATCGCAGCCATCTCCAGCGGCCAGTTCAGGGTACGAGTCGTCGACACCTCCCACCATAGTATCACCGTCCACAGAGAACCAGAGCAGCAGCTCCATATCACCAGCAGCCTCAGCAGTACACCACACAACCAGCCACAGCACGCTGTCGTCAAATTTCAATGAATGGTACGTGTAAATATTTTTGAAAAAGAAAAAGAAAGCACGGGGAAAAAAGACTGCAGAAATAAAGAAATAAATAAAACTGCTTGGAATCAAAGACTTTATCAAGTCAGCCAGTGAAACGAGGACTGAAAAAACACACGGGAGGCCCAAACGATCAATAAAAGGCTGCCTTAATGTCAGTGAAAGAGAATGCATGGACATAAAGGAGGCAAGGACAGCCACCTACTTAAACTTTTTCCCCCCTAAATATTTCTTTGAGTCTTTATTTTTACTGAGAGACTGCTCAAAAAAAAAGGAAGAAGAGAGAGATCTCAAAAAGCATGCTATCTGCGGGTAGAGGCCTGAATTTTTGTACATAAGGATTTCACCAAGTTGAAAAAAAAATGTAATATTTTATTTTGTAAATAGTTCTATCACAGTTTAAGGGAATTTGTGAAAAATGTGGTCCCTAGATATATGGAAAAATGAGATGGTTTTAAGAATACTGCGATGAATAGACTTCATTGAAAAGAATGTTATAGTTGTGTACCAAATGTGAATTATTCAGTATTACTACAGTCTACACGTCGACTTAACCGACTCTTAGTATTAATGTGCTTTTGTAGCCTATTCAGTGCAACATTTTCGTCCAAGGTCCAGTTTGAGTAGCACAGTATCATTGTTGTTATTTAATGTCATGTCGATAAATCGTGTAGTGAAAGCCTGAAATTCCGTGTCAATCTGTTTATGTAGTGATAATTATAAAATCTCTGTCAATTGCTTTGTCTGAAAGGAAGTATTATGTAAGTAGCTCAATTTTCCATATTTATCCGCATGTAAAGGACCGGTAACATGTTAGAAATGATCGGTATTTATGGAGAAATGCGCTCGTATGTAAAATTTAGTTTACAAAAACAACAAAAAAAAATGTTTGGATACATTTCGTACTATATTAAAGGATTAAAAAAATACAAGAATGCAATGCGTTGGAGGTTATTGGTTTCATTAGTGTTTGAGGTTGATCTCAACATGAGTGCTGTGTTAAACTAATGGGTTCTTTTTATAGGATGCATCACCAAAACAGACCCCCTTTTTTTCCACCACGATAATCCATTTAGTACAGTTCCGATGGAAGAATAATTGCATGGTTAGTTGCACAAATAATTTTAACTCTTTATGTGTGTGCGTATGTGTGTGTGTGTGTGTGTG